TTTATAGTATTGTACGAGATTGGCAAAGACGGAAGGAGCACCGTCGATTCCAAATAGTCACCGGCTTTTTTCAGTTTAACATAGATTTGTTACGTTACGAAATGTGTTACGAAATCAAGTGGTATTCCTTGGAAGTTGAATTCAAAATATATAAATTTAAGATTCAAGAAAGAAAATTATATAATTATCTTTCATAATCATCATTTTCCTCACCGTCATCATCATCGTCATCATCATCATCATCATCATCAGCCCACAGCTGTCCACTGCTGGACAGGCGTTTCCCAATACCAGTCTTCGTCTCTCTTCATCCACTTCTTGCCGGCCACCCTTCGGAGGCCATGTCACCACCTAGCCAGGGGGGTTCCACGTTACGTTTTCAATTGCGCGGTCTCCGCTGGAGAGCTTGTCTACTCGAGCGATCGTCAGTTCTATCGCATATATGACCAGCCCATTTCCACTTGCTGACTCTTTTAGCTGTTTCGATGACTTTAGTTCTCTGTGGAATAACCTCATTCCTTTATCATTATTTTATCCTTGAGAGAAACTCCGTGCATGGCTCTTTCCATGGGTGGTTGAGCGACCTGTTAACGGTAATATAATTAGCGTTAACTTACTGTTTTAAATATACTCTACGAACACTTCGTTTAGTATAGGCATATACGATTACTGATGACATCGCTGTTCCATCATATACCGATAAGTTTCCCAGTAATTTCATTGCGCTCGCTTCCCGTGAACATGCAATATTGCTTCTGAATTATATAACGTACCTACACTGAAACTTCTATGTAACTTAATTAAGTAGTTAAAGTGCACTCAGGTATATTCTGGTACGCTTTTATTTAACTACTAGCGACCCGCCCTCGCTTCGCTTCGGAAACATTAAAACACACATGAAACAAAAAAATAAAAATAAAAAAAAATAAAAAAAAGTAGCCTATGTTCATCAGAGACAATGTCGGCTTCTAATGGAAAAAGAATTTTTCAAATCGGTCCAGTAGTTTCGGAGCCTATTCGAAACAAACAAACAAACAAATCTTTCCTCTTTATAATATTAGTATAAGTATAGAAGTAGGATAAAACTTTGTTATTCCATAGGGCTGTTGTCTGCCTAGAACTAGAGTTAGAGAGGATTGTTTTCATGGCAAAGGGGAAGATTATACATTACGGTAAAAGTGTGTATTGACGGCAAAGGAAAAAAAAAGCACTCGTTACATAATAACTGAAATAAAAATCCCAAATATTAACGAAAAACGGTTGAAGCTATCCACACACAATATTAATAACCAAGGCCTTTATCCAAAAGTTAATAAGCTATATATTCTATATCTATATGTTTTATAAATACTATATACTATGTATGTGTTGCGAATTAAATAAAATCCTTATTTCATACTTCTACACTCATACAGAATGTCTCGTTGTACCTCGTTCTCTCCGATGTGGCTATTCTTATTATTATTATTCAACTTAGTTTACAGCGTACTTAAGTTATCAATATTTATATTGAAATAACGATTTACTTGTGTAGTCTGTTTTAATATAAGCCGGAAAGGGTACTGGTATCTGCCTACAACCTGCATAAGTGATAAAACATACACAGTAAAAGTCACCTTGTGTTATTGTTAAATCTAACTTCTTCCCTCATTGTTATCTCGAAAATTGCTAATGAGGATTATTGGGTCCCGCAATAGTTTATATCGTCTTATGTTGTCAGTAGCGTTACTAGTCCGGGAGTGGACCGGTATTGCCTCCGTCGAACAGCTGTTCCGGCTGGCTGCTGATAAAAATGAATATAGAAAATGAATGAAATTAATATAGAAAGCCAACCTTCAGGATTGAAGAGGCACTGGAAGAAGAAGAAGAAGAAGTTACTGATAAAAATTGCTATATAGTTACACATTTCCAATGCTACTGTGTCATCACTTGATACCGGTGTGTTTAGAGCGAGTTTTTAACGTTCTCGATAACGTAAAAGTTAACTCGAATTTGGAACGTAGGAACGTTTGCCTAGGTTTGCTGATAGTAGCGCTTTTCCGACTCTATACAAATTTAAGTTAACTTTTACGCTATCGAGAACGTTAAAATCTCGCACTAAGCACACAGGCTATTATGAAAAAAAAGAGCGTAGATGCTATCCAACTAATAGGGACTGATCAAGTGGACGTATGATTACCAAGTATTCTAAACTAAAACACCGTAATGTAACCTTCTTCTTGTCTCAATATTGACTTCAATTTACAAAGCACTCGCTTCTATTAAAGTTTATAAATAAATGATATATAGCTGAGTAAATACTATTATACTTTACTCGAACAAGGCTTTTGTGCTGGTATTATTGGGTTACGAGTGGTATTTTCTATTCGCCGTCTATTCAAATATAACAATTTGTTTTTATCATAAAACTAGTATTTTTTGGAATCTTGTTTACATTTCTTAATGTTCTTATTTAGACGAATTATTTTAACATTTCTAATTACGTAATAATATTAACTATCAATACTTTTTTCCAATTACTATTACTGCAACTATTACTTTAGAATCATTTAGGAGTTTTTAGATACACCTAATATTTTTTGTATGATATGGTCGTTTTGTTGAGATAATATCTAAAAATGTTTGTCGCGTTTTTCTCGAAACCGCCATTTTTCAAGTTTTTTTTTTTATTTCCCTTGTAGGCAGACGAGCATGCGGCCCACTTAATGGTGAGTGGTTACCGTCGCGAATGGACATCAACAATGTCAGGGGCAGAACCCATCCGCTGTCTACCGCTAAGTACTCTCCACAAACCTCGTTTGAAGAAGGACATGACATAGCGCTCGGAAAACACCATGGAGGGGAGCTCATTCCAAAGCCGCATGGTTGTGCCAAAAAAGTTTGTTATAAGAGCGAAATAAATCCTGCAGGCATGTACTAATTTTTCCTAAAGAACAGACGTACTTAACCGGAGGAATATCAGAAGTGACACTGTGCAATAAAAAATAAAACCTGTTACTAAGTTACCTATAGTTTGTATAATTACTGGTAGTAGGGGGTATTGTGGTAGCCCGCACAATTAGATAGTACCACCCTGGGTATTTCTGCCGCGAATCAGTTTTACTTTTTAGCTTCAAGGGCTTGATAGCTGTTATAGTTAAACAGAACAAAGGAGACTTAAGCCTCATGACTGGGAGACGGCATTCTGATTGATGTGGGCTCCGGTAACAGTTTCATAATAATGCGAGAGCAGGTTCGGATCTAAGGTTTTGTAAAAGTGTCTGTTTCTGATTTCCTTCTGGCATAAATTATATGTAATCGTACGCATAGCTGCAATAATGGTGAAATATAGAGTATTAATTAAAAAAAAAACATCGTTCAAATCGATTCTGCACAGAAAATAGTATGTACGGCTTAATATAACTTTTATTTTTATGTTGGTCAACTAAGACATTTAATTTGGTATAAAACATAACTACTACATTATTTGACTTATTGATATTAGAAAATCACATTACATAGTAGCCGTCCACTTCAACATATTCAATATTTTTGGAACAAGTAACGACATCTAGTGTACGTATAATAATGTAAGGCTCTTGACATTCGTTTTGTTGCCAGCAGGTTTCGCTGTCCTACTTAGCTGCAAATGTGAATAGGTAGTCTATGGTAAAAACTAAAATACTACCTACACTGTGTACATACTGATACCTATTACGAATAAATAGCATATTAGTTACATTTATTTTTTTATTAAGCAACGTTTCCATGTTTCCTCCGTTTTCTTTCGGAAGTCATAAAAAATCTCGAGTATTAAATATAATTAGAGTTTGTGCGTAAAATTGCTAAACAATGATGTATTTAAATGACCTACATTTAGATTGACAGAATATGAAATACGGAACATTTTCCAACCAATTTACCTATGGCTGGGTTTGTTCATTTTACTACCTATTACAATATTGAGTAATAGTCACATCATAGAGTAAAAAGTAATATAGTTGACGGTAATCGACAGCCGTGCTTTCCTGTCGTTCCTGTCAATTAGCTAATTTTGACATCTACGGTTCAATCAAATTTTGCGAGCCGGGCTGAGATTGTGAGCATAAATCCCAATAAATTTATTAACTAATTTTTATGAATGCTAAATAAAGCACTAGAAACTTATATTTGTATCCAGCTTTTTTCATATTGAGTTTCAGTGATGGTAACTTTTTAAATTGAAAATTTTTAGACGTTCTCACTTAGTGACATTAATTGTGATGTTCGCAATGATCGTGACCTTCGTTTAAACTAGCCGAGATTGGCGCTACAATTGATAATACGGTGGAGGTCCTGGTCCTGAGAAAATTGCTGCACTTGGAATTTGATTTGAAAGCAGTGAGTATATTTTTTAAATCCATTTCGGGCATATTAAATTTAAATTCTTTAACTAATTATAGTGACCATATGCTACCAGAATTTTAAATTTAAAGTTTCCGAATACTATTTTATAATTTTTCTTTCTGGTTCTTTATGTTCTATCAAAATCAATACAGAATCGCGCGAGATTGCGCAGTTATTACATGTACGCGGATAACATATTAAAAGTAAAGCTCTAATAAATCCTTAAGTAATCCTATATTTTTTTAAATCTATAAAAACGTGATTCGTAACATCATGAATCAATTTTTTTTATAGTATTAAAAAATATTTATGATAGCAAAATAAATACAACAATTGTACAGAAACAGTCCTAATAACTGTATTTCAGGTCATGGTACATTTTGCCAGAAGATTAGTATTAATGCTAATGCAAAATTAAATAGTTTTTTTTTGTAGCTTTTAATGGTTGGACGAGCTCATGGCCCAGCTGGTGTTAAATGGTAACTGGAGACCATAGAAACCTATAACTTAAATGCTGCCACTCAGCTCAAGACATGAGTTCTAAGGTCTCAGTGTTTACAGTACGGCTGTCCCACCCTTCAAACCAAAACGCATTACTGCTTCAAGGTAGAAATAGGCAAGGTGTTAGTACCTACCATCAGTAATTACATATGTCATTAGAAAAATTGGTGCCTGACTGTGAGATTCGAACAGCATTGCATCGCTTGACACAAATGCACCAGTCGTCGTCTTAGCCTTTGGGCCACTACGACTTCAAATCTTGATTTTAGAATACACTGAAAGTATCCCTAATTTATGTATCTCAAGTATATAAAAAATGTTAAATAAAACTATACAAAAATATAACTAAATAAAAAAATAAAGCTAAAATAGCTAATAAATAAATTTAATCTACAGTTATACTCACACAGTATTGAAAATGAATGTGAACTTTAAAATCAGCTGAACTTACAACACTACAACACTATTGTGAGCCATTGGGCATCAAGGCTCAATAGCCTAGCTTGTACAATATGTCCAACATTACATTGCCAGTAAACCCAAAACAAACCAGCAACACATAAAGATTATAATCATATAAGCTTTAGACAGGAGCTTTGGAAAACTAGGGGAGGAGGGGAGTTTTGGAAAGATTTGATAATTAAATACTAATCCGTTCCTTAGCAGTAGACAACAGCTTGGCTCTGCCCCTGTTCTGGTTAACGTTCACGAGCAGCAGTAACCACTCACCATCACCATATGCCTATCTCACAAGAAAATAACAAAGAAAGTATTGAGGTCACCAAGTACAAAAGTGGTTGAACCTGTTAAAAATTGATCAAAGTAACTTATTAATTGTTATTTTGTTAATTGTTTTGTTATTTTGTTAATTTTGTTAATTGTTATTACTCAATAGTTATTAATATTTCACTGTTTCCAGAAATGATTGACGTACCATATTTAATAGAGATCTTTGCTAACGCACTCAGCACCATGACTATACTGTCGTCTTTATTTCTCAAAGTACCGCAGATTATGTCCATACGTGAGAAAAGATCTGCCGAGGGAATATATATTCAGGCCATGCTTATGGAGATTATTGGGTATGTATTATTTTTAATATAGTAAATTAAACTGTCTATGTTGAAACTAAAATTCCAGCATTGAAATCTTTTAATACTTCTTTTTTAGGATAATAAGAAATTGAATTATTTGTGATGAATATCTCACCTTAGCATTTTAACTCACTGTGTATTAAAAAAGCATTGTACCTCTTTTTTGTTATATAAATAAACTAGGAAAACACTCTGGTATTAATTAGGTCAACAGGGTGGTCTTATTTGTAATTATTAAAGTCAATATTTTTCTATGACACACCCTACCTGACACAATTACAAAGGCTAAGATGATTGAGTGTACATATAAAGATAGAGGTCAGACATCCCTTCTGGTTTATTTGCTTCTATTCATTATATAATATGCTTTTATTATGTTATTCTCTTTCAGCTTTACCATAATGTCTCTCTACAATTATACAAACAAGTATAACATCATGACCTATATGGAGTACCCTATCATACTTTTCCAAGTCTACGTAATGTTCTACTTTGTTCTCAAATATAAGAACATGCTGAATCTTCCAATTATTCCCGTAATGGTCGCTTCATACTTTGCTTCTGTGTTCGGTTTCGTCATGGATCTATTGCCGAAACAAGTTCTCTCCTATTTGGTGGTAAGTGTTTATAAATTTACAATGGATATCTGGTACATGGTAAGAATTTTTCAATAAACAAGCTGTTGCAATATTCATTACTTGTATCAGATGAATATTATTTATTTCAAAAATATAGCTTGAAAACAAAAAATCCTACAATTAAAGCATAAATTAACATAAAAATAAAATAAAATAAAATAGATGCATTGTGATTTTTCCTGAAGAAAATTGATGGTAGAAAACTGAAAAATTGTGTAAAAATAATATGACAGCAAGACACTTAACCTTATAGTGAACATATTTAATTATATGTTAATGGTGGTAGGACATCTTGTGAGTCCGCGCGGGTAGGTTACCTGCCCTGCCTATTTCTGCCGTGAAGCACTAATGCGTTTCGGTTTGAAGGGTGGGGCAGCCGTTGTAACTATACTGAGATCTTAGAATTTATATCTCAAGGTGGGTGGCGCATTTACGTTGTAGATGTCGATGGGCTCCAGTAACCACTTAACACCAGGTGGGCTGTGAGCTCGTCCACCCATCTAAGCAATAAAAAAAAGGGTGAAATGGCCTTTTGATCTGTTTTAAAAAAAAAAACTTATACAAATAATCATGTTCTTTTGATTAATTTTCTCACATTTTTAACACAAGAAAAGAAAGAAAGGCCCTGGCTGTATCTGCCCCTGGCATTGCTGAAGTCCATGGGCGACAGTAACTACTCACCATCAGGTGGGCCGTATGCTCGTCTGCCTACAAGGGCAATAAAAAAAAAAGAAAATCTCGAAATTCCAATAACCTTTTGGTTACAAAGGGTTCTAATATTATTATTCTTGATAATACCTAAAATTGTTAGGCATGCAAAAAGCCTGCATTAATATGTAGAGTACGATCTGATTACATCTAGATCGAATAACGCAATGCTACCGTCATCAATTACTGCACCTTGGCATTGTAACTTGACTCATGAGTAGAATATGATAACCAGCACTAAATAGTTTTGTTTTATATGATAATGAATCGTCAAAAATTTAGAAAACCGTTTTTGTCGAAATACACGTGTAGAATTAATTGGGTTAAAGTTACATAATATAAGCATTCAACAGGCTTATTGTGCTTACAATCGCAAATTTCGTTTTGGTAATTCTACCTGTTAATTTTTTTAGGGTAAATCTCGACATTAGGGCCATAATGTCGGTTGTTCATATTTTCAACTAGTTCAGTTGACCATTTCCAATTTTAATGGGATAATACAGTAGATGCAATGATTGTTGTAGGTACAGTTGTATTCAAATGTCTATACGACCATCGCTACAATTGGATTTATTTAAATAATTTGTCTATGAATCACAAATCCCACGAACTAGACAATTGCAAACTGAGACGCGATATTATTTAATTATATAATAAATAATAAATTATTAATTATATAATAAATAATTTCTACCTAAGCTAATGGTCTTGTGAGACCATTTCAGCGTAGTCTTAACTATAGTAGGTGAGCTCACGGGCTCAAACCTGACGTCGTTGCTAACACTAACCCTGCAAGAGCAATGGCTTCGCAGAATCTGCCACCGGATCGGAAACGCGACCCACTGAGAAGATCCGGCGAGAAATCAGTGGGCTGTGTCTATGGGTTAATTCGCTCGTGGAACCCTCGAACCGCAAGCGACGGGTTCGACATGAACGATAGCCGATATCAATGTCAATGCATTGCTCTGTTGCAATGTTCTCAAAAACAACCAACCAAATTTTATGATATGAGTGATGATATGGGCTGATACGAGTATAGATGAACTTGATAGAAGTAGTCCGCATGTTAAAATATGAGAACATTCTATTGATATAATTAAAACTATTTTTACTGTTTATTCTCGCGTCTTTGTTATTGTCACTATATCGAGTGGTGAAAGGCTATTTGGTTAATATGCAACATTCATCTTCGTAAATAAAGGTCCGTTTTATTTTGTATTAGTATTAACAATTCGATGTTTTTAATTGAACTTCAATTACGTTTACCCCATTCAAATATCTGAAGAAGTTTTTTTGTTATGATAATCTTTCCAGATTTTAAAATGTAAACGGCTTTCCTGTAATGTTACAAAAATGTCGCTTAAACCGGATTGCCTTTCGGAATAGGCCCTCGAATTATTATTGCCGACGTTTCGAACACTTTATAATTTCGAGGACGCGGACAACTGTCAATCGAGATTAAACCGTAAAACTAGTTGTCGTAAGACTAGTTTTAATTACGTATGTCTACGATTCACGAGACCCAAAGAAAATACTACATTCTATTGTTATTCAAGAAACGTCTTTATGTAACTAACTATTTATAACTGGGAACAAATCGCGCACGGTCATCCGGTCCCAATTTAAGATTCCCGGTGTTATAGGTTTTTTTTATTTTTTTTATTGCTCAGATAAGTGGACGAGCTCACAGTCCACCTGATGTTAAGTGGTTACTGGAGCCCATAGACATGTACAACGTAAATACGCCACCTACCTTTGAGATATAAGTTAAGGTCTCAGTATAGTTACAACGGCTCTCCCACCCTTCAAACCGAAACGCATTACTACTTCACGGCAGAAATAGGCAGGGTGGTGGTACCTACCCGTGCGGACTTACAACAGGTTCTACCACCAGTAATTACGCAAATTATAATTTTGCGGGTTTGATTTTTATTACACGATGTTATTCCTTCACCGTGGAAGTCAATCGTGAACGTTTGTTAATTACGTATTTCATTAGAAAAATTGATACCCGCCTGCGGGATTCGAATGCCGGTGCATCGGTAGATACGAATGCACCGGACATCTTATCCTTTAGGCCACGACTACTTACGACGACGAGGTATCAGACACTAACACACATACTTATGTATATTTAAGTATATTGACGTATGTAGATAATAAACAGTCAGACGAAGAGCAACTTGTTCATGATACGATTGTTTGCCCAATGTGGGAATCGAACCCAGGACCCTCGGCGCAGTCAGAGACGTTAACTATTGCACCACCGAGTCATTATGCTTACGTCTTTAGAGAATAATATATTAAATTACTCAAAATTTCCTAATACATATTTCATTAGTTTGAAATTCGAAATGGCATGATTAATATGTTTTAAAAATAACTGATTAGTTATTTAAAATACATAATCCGGTAAAGTTTGTGATTATTTGATTCAATTTAGTGTCGTTATTCTATTTGTGAGTGTGATTCTTTCAAAGTTATATTTATTTAATCGCAACAACATAGCGACATGAACATTATTTACAACATTATTCATTGTTGTTGTTACATAACAATAAATAAATCTACAGTGGTTTTTACGGATGTTCTGTTATAACTACTGAACCATGCATCCGATTGACTTGAAACTTGGTATCCATGCAGGAAATACATATACTTAATGGATAGGCTAATATTTATATGAGTCTTGGACTCCCTAATAATAATAATGACAATAAATAATAATGTTAATTTTAAATGCCCAGCGAAGCGGGCGAGTACGTCTAGTTAGTTTGGTTATATTTTTTGTCTCAAATTGCGATGAAAATTACTTCGTTTCAGCCGTTTTGCACGCCACTGAGCGGATTCGCTAAAGTGACCTATATATATGGTATCATTAAATCCGGGAACGCGGACGCTGTTTCGCTCACAACGTGGATCATTTCCGTGCTGACCAATTTGGGTGAGTCATTTCGACGTAACATCCGATTCCTATATAAAATTGTGACGTGAATGCGACGGTGGATTCTGTACTTTTAATGCCCTTTTAATATGAATGTATTTATGGGTAAACATAATCGATGGTTGTATTCAACTCCTGATTTTATAGTACGGCATTTTGGAACTTAGGGACTTAGATGAAAATGACGGGTCGATCAAAGATCATTACATGAAAATGGGTACCAGTGGGTACCAAATGATAATGAGACACATTGTGTATTTTTTTAATTTATGTCCATAACCGAATTATTATTTTTTATAATTAAAGCAATTATTTGATTACTGTCGCTTTTGTCTTCAACGAATTAGTTCGGTTTATTTTATTTATCTTTATATATATTCTGTAATTTCTGTGCGCACCTCAGGAAACATTTCAAGTTAAACGTTAGACATGGAATAATATGTTTTTTTTAAATTCTTTTCTTTATTCGTTTAGCTCGCGTCTTCACCGTTTACGTGGACTCTGGAGACGGCAAGCTGCTGGCCAATTTCATCATATCGACCCTGCTCAGTTCTGGTGTTTTCTTCACCGCCTTGCACTACCAGCAGCAGACGGCATGCTGCCCGATCCATCGCCCGCAGAAGAACCGCAATCGACCTTTCCACCAAGAATACCGTCCCCGACACGTTCACCAAGACTAAAAGTATGTTCAGTTACCAACAAGACTTCATATAGAAAACTTTTATTTTTGCATTTCCATTCGTTATACCATTTATTTATGTGTGAACCGCATTTTTATTCTAGCTACAATCCTTATTGGCGGTTCTTTTACGTAATTTATTCTTAATTTTAAAGGGCCCCTGTTATCAAATAGTTGGGGTCGGCACAATGACGCCCGTGAATGTACAACAACATTTCACAATTGTATTTTTAGGTGCGAAGCCATAATAGTGGCAGTCGTCCCCGATCTCCTCTGGGAATGTTTCATTTTACACTATGCCATACGAGGCTTATTATTATAGGGTAAACCGTTGCGTTGGGTCTTCGTAGGATCCGCCATTGATCGAATATAAAGACACGTAACCAGTATTATCGATTATTATAATTGTCGTGATTAGTGAGAATTGAATATTTAATGTTATCTTACGAATCTGAAAGAATCTTATCACGATCTAGTCACTGAAAAAAGTATTGAATGATTTATTGTGTGGCAATGAAATTTTTTATGGTTAGCTTAGCTTTTGACTAAATTTTTAATATATGACAACACTCATAAACAAGGAATCTCTTGATATACATAGCTGCTCTGTGTTTTGTCATTAGGCTAATGATTAATTACAATAAGAAACTTAAAGACAACGGTTTGACGCACTACATCGTAGCGGAGGTTGATAAATATANATACAAATAATATTCTGCACTTAAAAGTGTCAAAATATGGTATTGAAACCTTTGTAATGTAATTTTCGATACTGTTTTAAATTATCATTGCGTAGTTTCTATTATATATCGATCTTTACCTAGTGATTAATATAATATAAAAAATAAGATTAATGAAATTTTATTGAAACATTATTAACAATATATTTAACAATTGTATTAGCAGTGTAATTGAAAACCAATATAAAAGACATTTTCTCCCTTTCCTTATAAATGTTTAGTGCATAGAGATTAGATTACAAAGAATCTCCAGATTTGATATTAATAATTTTTGTGTTAATTATTTATTATTTATGTTAATAGTGCCATATGTGAACGCACAGGAATTCATTTTATTAAAGGTGACATATACAGTGCCAAGATTATTTTTTTATGATTGTAATTGAATTATGTAATTATTTCGTTGTTTTTTTTTTAAATAAATTTGCATCGTGAAACTATGCTTTTATTTACCCTTATCAAGAGTCATATCTTTTAAGTTCTTGGAATTTTTGCAATATCTTTTGCGCCGCCGATTGTTGAAGTCCAGATGAAGATTTTATAGTGAACAATTTCGATCTGGTTTTCCTAGGGTTTGATACATTTTCTGTGATAGACTTTCTGTTCGATATTGACGTTTTACGCGGCGAATGCATTCTCTTTGCTATGAGCAGGCGAGAACAAAGCACTCTCGGAGAAGTCATTTCTAAAGACGACGTTGATGTGAACTTTGTTCTCGGCGATGAAAATGAACCATGGCCTGGCGAACTAATGTAGTTCGGTTCACATCTCAACACGTTATGGGAGGCTTCGATGCTGCTCTGTATTTCGGGCAGTGCAGGCAATTCTTCGGGTTCGGAAGGAATATTATCTTCATCGACCTCATGCTCCAGCAACCCTTGCGGTTCTTGGGCACCAAAACTCAATCGACTAGCTAAATGACGAGCTTTGCGTCTCGCTTTAGCCTTCGCAATTTTCACAGCACTAGCACTTCCGACCAAATGTTTGTTCTGGTCTATGAATTCGCAAACCGCGTCCGCTTCTTCCTCCGGCGATAGATACGCATCTCTAAAAAACCCGTATCCGTCGCGCAGATCGTGTATCCCTTCCATAAACAGCCAGCCTAAAGTGAAGATCGCTAAAGCAATAGTTGTGATAACAGCGACAGCTGTAGTAGCATCAGGTCCTGATAACTTGTACTGGATTTTTCCCAAGACTCCATAAGTGATAATGTTTTGCATACGCTTATTGCTGCGAGCTCTGCATGTGTAGAATCCTCTCAAATCACTATCCATTGAGGCAAACAGCTTCAATAATCTACTGTCATCAACGAATTGAACGGTTTCACCATTCATCTCGTCTTTGATCGCAGTATCTAACAGAAACCAATCGGCTTCGTTGTGATTCCGAACATTCCTCGCGTGAAGACATGTCAAATTAAGTTGGTTCGATCTACCCAATGATGTCTCATGATAAGACCCTGAGACACTCGCAGTTCTTGAAGACATTTGAACTATTCCATTTTTGTTCCTTTCAATGCTAAGCTGGTGTATATCTAATAAGATGTTATCGACGGTGATGGAAGCTACAATGCCAGTGAAAGTAGGAAATTCTTCGGAAACCAAAACGTTGATATTTTTTGGAACTCCTCCAACAAAAAATTCGTCGGTACAAAGTGAGATTAACAAGGAATCAACTTTTATTTTATCCGTAAGATGGCCCTCTGTAGATTGCTTGGGTTTCTTACATTTATTATTTGCATCACGACAAACGAAGCTACTTTCAATATCTTGAAATGTCACGTGTATTCTTTCTCCAGAATTTAAAACGGCCTCGATAGAATTTGCATCTCGTTTTTTAGTAACGGCAATATCGAGCCACTGTTCGGATGAGCATTCGAAAGAACTTATACATTCGGAATGGAAATTCGGTAACACTAGCTTTAATTTCAAGCGCATGTTTTGTAGCGATAAATGAAGCCAATTCATTTTATTCTTTAAAAATAATATAGTCCCGATTTCACTTCTAGGCTTTAGCGTCAATCCAATGCGCCATTCCTCTTGATTTAAGAAACAGGGGATTCGTATATATTGGTCGTTGTCGAGATTTATGTATCCTTCCTCCATATTTGCCTTTTCATATGCCAAATTTGTAACGCCTGTGGGATAGAAACCAGATTTACGACGATACCGTTCGCTCATCAGTTGAAGAGGCATGAAATTTAATATGAGTTCTTGAACTTCACCGTGAAATCTCTCACCGACTATAATTTTGACTTCATCATTGGGAAGATCCGGATCACAGGGAAACGTGTTTTTTAGTGTAACTGGCGAGTCATCTAACCTCAGAGTCGCAGCTTCGTTAGTTACAGTCACGAGAACAGAATGCCACACGGCTGGTTCGATAACGGAATGGCTACAAATTCGAGGTAAACTACAAGATGGTGCGAGTCCACTGGCATCTAAGCAAATGTGCCATCTTTGTAGGCTCAAACGCACGTAGGGGCCATGTAATGTTCCTCTACGCACTAAAGTGCCATGTGGAGATATTGGCAAGAATCTTATGTAGAAATGGAATAACGTTGAATGCATGTTGGCAAAATTGTACTGTATACTAGAGTCGCCATTAAATAAAGCGACGACATGTGTGTAAGCATTACAAGGTAACATGTGACAAGATCCTATTTCTGTACGTTGCCCCATACAAGGGGAACCGTTGCCAGCGGGAATAGGTCTCGTGCATGATCTTGATCTTGATCTTCTGCCTGCTCCACATGTTTGGGAACACGGTCCCCAAGGACCCCAGCCAGACCATCCTCCATTTAACGAACATTTTTTGTTTTCACACATTTCTAATTCATCGTGTTGTCCTTTACAATGAGTTCCCCATGTGCTAGTAGATATTGGCGTGCGCATTTCTAAACAAGAACGTCGGCGGCGTCTTAGACCAATGCCACAACTTTCCGAACATGCAGTCCAAGGTGACCACTCACCCCATGCGCCATTAGAATTACGTATGTCAATAGCACACTGATCACCGACGCATTCATCAGTTTGTAATGGGTATCCCGAGCAAATGAGAAGAGCTTCTGAAGGTGGTGGTGCGTCACATCGTCTCAGTCTCCATCTGAAGCCGTGGCCACAACGAGCGCCGCAGGATGACCAAGTTCCCCAAGCGCTCCACTCCCCAATAATAGGACAGCCCATATTATGTTTCACACATTGCAGCGAATTCCATAATGCTTCAGCATTTAGTTGCCAAGTATTGTCCGCATTAAGTGCTACGTCTATTGCCTCAAACGGACATTCCGTCTGGAGACATCGTTCCATAAGAGACGGTACGGTTTCTAAGTGCCTGAAAGCATCGTTCCTAATCGCATCACCTTTGATCAGCTCTTTATAGTCGTTGACCGTACAGTTTGTTAAGTAGCAAGACCGAATTTGTTCCACTTCACCACTGCACATGATTCCATCTTCAAACGGTGGCGGGTTGTTGCACTCTCTGTATCTGCGCTGATGACCCAATTGATCACATGATCCGTAACATGGGGACCATGGACTCCACGGCGACCAACCGCCATCTACGGGACACTCGGGATCAGAGATGATACCTATTTCGCACTCTACTCGCCATATTTCTTGTTGTCTTTTGCTCCGAGGTTTTTTTGATAGACTTACGTCAATAATCCAGCTTATTATGACTATTTCCTTAAGCTTATACATGAGCATCTCTACTATATTTAATGTATTTTCTATAAATGACACTGCAAAAGTCATATGAGACGGTTCTCCTTACTTCCACGCTCCATACTATTTCTATGATGATTTTATGGCCTGGTTACGAGACTTTTGAGCCAAGAGTATTTGCAATGCTCTAACTAGAAAAAATTAAAATAAGATTTTTTCATTTTGATAAGTACCTAAGCTGACAGCTGAAGGTATTAATTTTTAGCATCAAGTATATTCTGTAAGCTACTGAAATCTACAATGTTTTAAAATTGAATTTAAGCGGTAATATATTTTAGTGCTGAGCCTATAACGGGTAGATAGTTTTGATTATTATGAATATTAGCACGTTTTTATTAGATCGGTATGTATGTATGTTTGTTTATATGTGACGGTATCTTTGAACGTCATTTTCACAGACTTTAAGACATCCAATTAACTTAAAAATTTCGAGCGCGCCATCAACCGTTGACAGGTACTTACAATCGTTTTTAATACTTCGCTTTAATATCTTAACCAGTATCAACAGGACTAAATAAATATTATATTAATAAAATTGTTAGTTCGGTTTGCTATTTAAACATGTTTTTGTAGTTTTAAAATACATAGGTACATTAAATTCTTCAAATTATGTATTTGCAAATCGTTATGTTTGGACCATGCAACTAAAATAGAGGGTGGATCTCATAAACACAAAGCAATTACGAATTCGCACAACACAAAACATTCGGTAGGCAGCGGCTTGGCTTTGCGGTAGGCAGCGGCTTGGCTCTGCCCCTGGCATTGCTGAAGTCCATGGGCGACGGTAACCACTCACCATCAGGTGGGCCGTATGCTCGTCAGCCTACAAAGGCAATAAAAAAAAAATTCGCTAATAGATTTATAGTAAAATTTATCGCTTTGCTAATATAATTTAAGACCATGCATTAAATAAAAACAAAAAATGAAAATAAATAATTTTATTTCGGTTTAGGAAATCAAAGACTAATACTGTTAACATTCCGAAAGACTATGTGATGAAAAATAGAATTTATCACGCGCTAAATGTTACGGCGCTAAGCAATAATCTAGTCCTCGGGAATGGGCCTTAAAGGAATAAAAGATAATTTAACAAAAATATTCAAAATTAATTACAGCATCATCGTCAAACGAAATATATCAACTACGTTGCATTTATAAATAATGTGTTTAGCTATTTTGTGCAAAAGCATTACATTTTTTAACAACATATAGTGACAACGAATTTAATGACAAACTAACAAAATTATTAACAATTAATAACAAACAAACAATTATTTTTTAACATAATCTAAAAACTAGTATTGCAAATGAATTTCTTGATATACAAATAAATGTAATATCTAAGTCTGAGGACTCATTCACTTTTAGTATCACAACGTTTACGATTTCATATTTTTTAAATATTTTTATTTTAGCATATTATTTTTTCTTTTTTTATCCACGTCAAAGAGCTACAAATTCTCATAAAATGTACATAAATTATGTAAATTTGAGAACATGGAATTTGAAAAAATCTTACAAACTTCTGATGAAAAATTCTTCAGATAACATAAGATCTATTTAGTTTTGCCTAGTATTTCTCACTCTTCTTTTTTTTGAGCAATGATTGAAGTTCTTTTATATTTAGAAAAAAATAACTATCAAGAGGATCTTCCAATCAAGAGGATCAAGAGTTCCCGATCAATGAAATTCTACATGAGCAAGATACGTAACTAGTCTATAGTTAAACATAGTTAAACATCACCAACAAAAACATTAGGCACTTTTTAACAACTTTTCATTAACAAATAGCAACCTTAATAAATTAGTACCCAATTCTGTGGATGATTGTACGCAAAGAAAATCGGACAATGTAGTAATAATGAATATGATGTCCTATCAATATTTTCAGAAACGCTCAGCCAATTTTGTAACCAATTCCTCATGTCCTGGTTGGGGAGATTGCTCCCATTCAATCCACGTATGTGACATGCGTTTCTCAAAGTCTCAGCATTTAAAATGTTCACACCACCTTCTCTAATGATGGCTTTGTCCATTTCTAATAGTAAGAATGCTCGATACTTTAGTTTGCTTGTTCTGAATATTGATTTTCTTAAGCCATGCATTTTCAGTAGATGTCCCTGTAAATTAATAAAATGGATTTTTGTGATTCTATATCAAGAGTAAATGAAATAGCAGTAACATTAAAATTTGAAAAAGAAGAATTTCAAGGACGTAAAAGAATTTCAAGGAGTGAAATTGTCTCAAGATTTTATTTTCAATTTTCCTTTGATTCCAAGATATGCCTCTTCTTTTTTATTATTTGTCTTCAGTAGAGCTTGAGAGATCTTAAAAAGTCAGCTTCGGTTTGATCGGTTTTTTAGAAGACCTAATAGGATGTGTTTCACTAACTTACTATTCTAATAGCAAAAAAATTTTGTAAGTAAAAAAATTGTAAAAAGAAAAATTGTGTATACTTACTAAATGAGCATAATTGAGACTGGACAACTGATATGGCTCTTTCGTGAACAGGTCTTTACAAGCCAACACATCTTTTGGTGACGGATGAACACCAGAACCAAGAGAAGCGATCACCCTTTTCCATTTTAATTTAATATCACCATCAGGGATGATTTCCACTTGGGCCTGTAAAGACCTGAATACTGGCTTATTGTGACGTAGTCTTTCTGTTAACTCTTGCCTGGAGAATTCAACTTTCTGCTGGATCGACCAAAAGTGAGAACACAGCAAAGTCCTTGGCTTTAAAAACCTGTAATTGAGAAGAAAATATTATACATCAAGAGGTAAAATTTATTCTTTATGACACTATCAAAGTACACCTTTTTTCTGGGGCCATGTGAAGCGATTCAGGAAGTTTGAATAAAACTGTTGTGTATCATAATATCAATATAACTATATTCTACTATAACTATAAGCAGATTCGCCATGATTGACTGATGTCCTAAAAAGTAAAGTACAATGATACACTTTGTGGACATTATTACTCAAACTGTAGGTTTGTATGTGAGGTCAAAACTGGTAATTTTGGCTATCAATGATATGTGAATATAACATTCCAACCTGGGGTGATCTCACAGCATATAATCCACATAATTGAAAAATTATGTTGGTAAAACCTCTATTATGTACACAAATTTTTTACTCAGAACACAATCATTTTCATTCGACCTTTATCTAATCTGTATTTTATAGGCTTTAAGATGCAAATGAGATGTAATTACATGGTGAATTCTCACTCTAGTTAGCATTACCATTTAGGCATCCTAACCACTTGCTAATATGAAGTCGTCGTGGCCTAAAGGATAAGACGTCCGGTGCATTCGTGTTGAGCGATGCACCAGTGTTCGAATCTCAGGTGGGTACCAATTTTTCTAATGAAATACGTACTCAACAAATGTTCACGATTGATTTCCACGGTGAAGGAATAACAACGTGTAATCAAAATGAAACTCGCAAAATTATAATTTGCGTAATTACTGGTGGTAGGACCTCTTGTGAGTCCGCGCGGGTGTGCACCACCACACTGCCAATTTCTGCCGTGAAGCAGTAATGCGTTTAGGTTTGAAGGGTGGGGCAGCTGTTGTAACTATACCTTAGAACTTATATCTCAAGGTGGGTGGCGCATTTACGTTGTGGATGTCTATGGGCTCCAGTAACCACTTAACACCAGGTGGGCTCGTGACCTCGTCCAGCAATATAATAATAAAGAAAAAATAGCTTTCCGCTTACTGTTTTCACAACCAATTTCATATTTTCAAGGGTTCTTGCTTCTATTCCAATAGCATACTCAGTAGCTAGACTATGTACTATATACAACTTAAATAATGTCTATTTCACTAATCAATACTTACGCTAAAGGGAAAATAATATAGTTTCCAAATGGTATAGCCGACAATATCAAAACAGGTGCTATTCTCAACATGTCTGATGGCATCTTCTGGTACAATTCAATTTCTTGTCGGCTCATTTTCGAGAAACCGTGATCCCTAGCAACTTTTATTCTCAATGTAATATACATTTTTAAATCTCTTAAGAAATCTTTGATACCAACACTAAATACTCTGTACATTTTGACTGCATTTGGAAATCTCGTCTCAAGAACTTTTGTGTAATTCTTTACATAATCAATGTATCTTTGTACAAAATAGGTTCGTATTTTTTCCTTTTCACTTCTCAGTGCTTTTGTGTGTTTCAGCCTTGTTATGGTTGTGAATCTGAAAGCAATTTGATAAAATTCAGCTATGTTGGTTAATTTATGTGGGGAATAGCAATATATTGAGCATACAATATTAATAAATAAATAAATGTTATGTATGGAAATGTACTTAGTGTAAGATAATCTTTACTAAAAAGGTAGATAGGACCAGTGATTCCAATCACAATTAGATAATGAAATCAATAATTTCTATTGATCTATCTAATGTACTAAATTAATGTACTATAAAAATAATCAAAAAACAGCTGACAATTAGGGTTCATGTTTTCAGGTGAAACAGGGTTATCCAACTATTAATAAATCACATGACATTTTTTTCTAAACAAAATGTTTAAAATAAAACACCAATTAACTGTCAGTAGGCACATTCTTATTAATATTAATATTAAGGTTTCTTGTTTATTTTAAATTCAAACTACTTATTAGTCTAAATAAATCTAGACTATGAAGTAATCAATAAATATGGAATTAAAAAGTGATACATAAAGCTTGACAATATTTTTGTACTTAACTAATGTCTCAAGGAGTAAAGTGTGTTTTTTCCTTTCTTAATGAAATTTATAATGACAATGTTTACGAGATTAAGATACCTTGAATTTCATGGTCAGCTATTCATAGACACAAAAACAAAAGTATGTAATTTAAACAAATTATACCATACAATTTATAAATATGAGTAATTATGTATACTTGTTATAACAACAACAGTTGCAACAAGTTTATAGAATTAGAAGTGATTAGGGATACTTGTAACAACAACAGACACATATTTTATTTATTTATAACTACTACTAGCGACCCGCCCTCACTTCGCTTCAGAAACTGTAATTTATTATTGATTTCTCCACTATTTAATGGAAGTTATTATACATATAAACCTTCCTCTTCAATCACTGTATCTATTTAAAAAAACCGCATCGAAATCCGTTGCGTAGTTTTAAAGATTTAAGCATACATAGGGACAGAGAAAGCGACTTTGTTTTATACGATGTAGTGATAGTCCGGCCTTAGATAATCCTAGGCTGCATTTGTGTGGCTTTTATTGAAGAATTTAGATAAGCTCATCTGAGATGATTCGGCAGAAGAGTTTAATTTTTTTTTTCATATAACTAATTAAAAAATGCATTAAGGCGTATTTTAAACATTAAAGCACTAATACGTATTGAATTATTTTTAGGCTTCAATTTTTCAACAATACTAAGAACAGAAGCTGATCTACATTCTATTTTTAAACCAACGGTGATGTTAATACATATTACAATTATAAATTACATCAGAGATGTTTTTTGGCTTTAGGATTTGTTTACAATTTCAAGAGTTGAAGTACAATAGAATTCGTCTCACCTGGGTTGATTCAATAGTTGAAAATTATTAATAATTATAGGAGCTGAACGATTGTATTGTAGTATTGTTCCAGACATCGTAATTATTCGTCGAATCGTCATTTTTTGTTAGAAATAATTTAAATTCCAGACAGAACCAGACGGAACTCACTTTTCTCGACCCAGTGGACTTGACATTAATGAATGACTAATAATGACTGACGATTTGTTGTCAATGTCATTTTGATTAGATGCTATCTTCTGCTTATGAAGGGTAGAGGTAAGGAGAACCGTGAACCGTCTCATAATAATATGGAAGAAGCTTGAAAAAGTGTCCCACTTTCAGCACTAAATAACAGTTCAAAAATCCTACAGAATGTCGCTAGCATAGGCACAGGGTATGATATGAATTGAGCAGTTGTTAGCTGATTGAAGTATGCTGAGTTAAGAAATTTAAGAAATTTAATGACTAGAGTACTTAGTGACAGTGTAATATACAAGACCTCACATGTTTACGTAGTCTAAACTAATTTCGTAAGTTCAACCTAAAAAATTATTACGTCAAGACATCGATTGCATTTTCTTATCAGCTTTAAATAAGATACTTTTTATGATTTTGTTGTGCTTACATTTCTTTCGTCTTTTTTTATTTCTCTATCTTATTCTAATAACTTTCAGCGCCTTTTTAAAATGTACCCGGTTGTTACTGTAGCGCCACGAAATTCAGTGGGCTGTGTGTGTTTTTGGTAACCTTCATTATGCCATGTAAATTTAATATAATTGTCGTTTCGCTGTTTTTTCGCTCGATTTGATGCTTTCTGATTTACCTATTATTCTAGGTCATTTCTAGTCAATTAATCTTAATTAAAGTCATAATCACGTTTACTTTTATATGTACACCATATACAGTGGTGGTCGTTTAATTAGAAACACTACCAACGGTTCTTGACATTATGTAAGATACTTCACCGCAATCGTTTTTATTTTGAAATTAAACAATAAATAGGACAACAATATGTACAACGATTTATCATTTATTAGAAAAACAAATCCCACTATACAAGTGCAATTTCAATATTACATTACGGACAAACATTTACTTATATCAGTTTTAAGGTATGTCCAATTAACATATTTTTTTAGGGAATAATAATCGCTTTTCTCGGTGTTGCTTGATACGAAGCGGTACCTTTCGAGAGGCTCTTCCAAACAATTTAGGTTCCACTAATCTTTGGCGTATCAGTCTTGACGAAATGTTTCTCGGGTCATCACGCGAAAAAACTTCATTTTAAAACTGGTTGGAGCCTTTAATTGGGTCTTTTTTAGCAACACGAATGATTAACGTATTTCTCTGGGAGAGGTTTTTCTTGGCCGAGCCTTTCTAAGAACATTTTCAACAGTTCCATGTGCTTTATAATGATCAATTGCATTAAAAACTTTCTTAACAGATCAATTAAAATCTTCAGCTATTCTTCTGTACGCCCACGTATGATCTATAATAATATGTAAATTAACAATTATTTGCCTAGTTGACGCATCAAAACTTTTATTTTTGCCTATTTTGAACAAAATAAAATTCAGATTTAATTTTGAATTGCCGCCAAAATTAAAAAAAATGCTAAGGAAGAAATGTTAATCTTCAATTTCAAAAAATGAACGAGCTATGGGTGCTTTTTTAAATGTTTCTAATTAGTACCAGTAACAGAAAATAAACTTCTACACGTGTAAACCTCATTTTGTAATTAAAAGTAAGATAAATGACCACCATTGTTAACGGCCGTCTGGTGTAGTGGTAAGTGACATGGTCACTGCACAAGGAGGTCGCGGGTTCGAATCCCGTCAAGGGAAGATATTTGTATGATAAATATAAATGTCTTTTCCAGGGTTATGGATGTAAATTAAATATATGTATGTGTATATTAAAAATCTTACATTTATTTCCGTTATCTGGTACCTGTAACACAAGTTCTTTACGAACTTATCACGGGACCAGTTAACGTGGCGTGATTGTTAGTAAATATTTATTTATTTATTATTGTATAACAGCGATTCTCAATTTTTTGTACTCAGCGACGCACCAACATACTCGTACTCTTTATAAATTCACAAGACTCTTACAAACTTACATCCAAAAAGTGTATAGTTCTAGTGAAGGTAGTGTTAGGTACAATAAAAAAATATGATATGAAAAAGTTGGGACTAAAATTACTAATATACAGTCAAAACCGTTTACTGCGACATCGTTTAATACAACATGCCGGTTATAATAACCAAGAACAAAGGTCCCGGCTGAATGCCATATGACCGCCTTATTAAAAATATTGCTTTCTACGACATTGGTAATAACGACATACCTCATAAAACGACCAAATTTAACTAATATTTCGGAGAATTAGATCTGTTAGAACGACCGGCTAAGCTGTATTGTAAACAATTTGAATAGGTATCCACATTTGTCTTCAATGGCTTTTAAAATCAGGAAAGAAAACAATAGGATTTAGTTTAGTGTAGGGTCTTTTCTAATTCTTAGAAACAAAACACGTGCATGCGGTAGTCAAAGCCCGCTTCTTCATATCTCTTCAGTTAGTTTGTTACTTATCTATACACAAGACGCACCAAAACTTTGTGGAGTTATTCGTGAAACTTTCAAAATGTCGCAAAGAAAAAGAAAACAAATTAATATTGAAGAAAAATCGCGTATTATGTAAATATATTTTTCCAATAATTCCCTATCGATTTGTTTATACTTGCACGATACACATTAAACATCACCGGTTGTTACGACTATCGGTTTTTACGACTGAATATGAGCAGTCCCTTCGATGTCGTTATAACAGATTTTGACTGTATATTCAAATTCAAATTCAAAATAAATATATCGTGTTCGTAAATATAGCGACAATTTTGATAGGGGCTTGTGACACACAAATAATTCGGAATATATAATATATACCACGGAATAGAATATAATACCAATATTTTAATATTTGGTAAACTTAACAAGGAATGAAATAACCATATTTGAAGTTAAATCATTTTATTAAACCTTAAAAACGTTACGAAAACGTTACATAAATCAAATATACAAATCCGATCAACTTGTGATTATTCATTTTAGGGTTCCGTTGCTACCTTAGAAGGTCGTTATGAGACCAGCTGGATGCTGTCTAAATATTATTATTGTTTTGCGGTCATAGAACAGTAACATTGAAGTGGATAAAATTTTTCAGTACGATTTAATTAAATGCCGTGTAGAAAGTCGCCTAAGCCTTTAGGCCTATCCTTATCCTTTAGGATAAGACGTCCGGTGTATTCGTATCTTTTTTTTTTTTTTTTTTTATGATTTAAAGTTTACTGGTGGCCCGAAGGCCTTTCCAGTTTCACCAGGACAGGTGGGCGAGCAAAGGCTCAGCCAAGAGGGGTGGGATTTGCTAACAACTGCCCGAGCGCCTCCGAAGGAGACCTAACAACTCAAGAGCAATTGTTTCGCGAATGAATCTACTACCGGATCGGAATCGCGACCCGCTGAGAAGATCCGGCGAGAAACTCAGCGGGCTGATGCATGGGTTAGGTTGCACGTCGACCTCTTTGTCGAGTTCGACGAGTACGGTTACCGGGGTCCCTAAGCCTGCCCCTAGTATTAGAGCTGAAGGCATCTAATGCAAAGGTTATTGGATCTGATGGATCCGTAAGGACGTGTCTAGGGCGTCGACGGTGACTGGCTCCTGCATGATCAGGATTCGGGGAGTAGTCAGC